GTCCGCTTTCTTTGTCAGTCATATTCATAGTGCCAAGTTGTTCAAGTCAACAAAAACAAGGAGAGAAAGAGAAACAGAGATCCTGTATAAATTTGCATTTGCTTTGAAAAGCCCAGTTCATTGTCACCATCTGACATGCTTCAACGGTTTCTTTACATTTTACTTCCATGATCTGCTTACAATTTCGACAAATATTCTTGTTTAGACTGGCAGACAAGCAATGCACAGTCTGCATTTTTTCTTGCCTCCTGGAGCATGTGGAGTGACTTCTGTCATGAACTTTGTACCCAACTGGGTTGGCCACCCCGGGGCAAACTGCCTCTTTAACTACTACAATTGTATGACATGCTTTCAAATGTACACAAAACACGATCTGCTATAACCATATGGTCTTCACAATGTACATTAATGATGAGGCCCATGAAGACCTAATTCCCAATCAGGATAGAATATAATTGTAGTCCCGTCGACGGTACCATATACCATGTACATGACCTGGAGTACAGGGTGAAGTACAAGGTGTTTTTTATATTCGTGTTCTAGATGGGTATTGAAGTAAATTCAGTTTGGTTGCCAGCTTGGTAACCTTGGGCAACTTTTTGTATAGCCTATTTAGCATAATCATCTAATTAGCATATGTGCAATATGTAAAAATGTTGCTAATCTCAATCCAAGGAAGCCTGAAAACATGGATAATACGACTTGTCAAGGGTTTTTTATGACGAGGAATTCATCTATGACACTAGTTTTTTTATTCCAAGAAATGCAATTGTCTTAAATAGCATAAATAGCATAGTGAGCTAATAAGCATGTGTACAATATATGGACTTCATTTTCATTGTTTATCTTATAAAGCATAAAAATGGTGCTATGCAACATTGTTAATCACTTTTGAAAGACTGATCATTAATTCAAGAGAAGATATTCCATGTAGATTACTGATGTAGTATAATTACCCTAATTAGCATAATAATCTAATAAGCAGATATGTACAATACTGAAATAAATTGAGGAGTTTTGATCTAAAGCTACAGTCCCATATACGTCCCGGACCGTCCCGGACCATCCCGGACCCCATCCGGGGTGATCCGGGATTCGGTCCGTGTTGACACCGTGTTGGCACCGGGGTGGTCCTGGATGGTCCTGGGCGGTCCGGGAGTCGACCCCGGATGTTTTTGACGGTCAAAAACTGCCGGGGTGGTCCGGGACGGTCCGGGACAATAGTTTGATCCGGGGTGATCCGTGTAGCCACCGTGCTGGGTCCGGGGTCATCCGTAGTGGCGCCGGGGCGGTCCGTGTTGATCCGTGGCAGTCCGGGAGTGAGTTATTGACCGCCCAGGACCATCCAGGACCATCCAGGACCACCCCGGTGCCAACACGGTGTCAACACGGACCGAATCCCGGATCACCCCGGATGGGGTCCGGGATGGTCCGGGACGGTCCGGGACGTATATGGGACTGTAGCTTTTAAAGCATCACACTTTTTTGAACAAAACATCCCGGACCATCCCGGATCACCCCAGACCATGGTCCGGGATGGTCCGGAGTGGTCCGTGCTCGTCCGTGCTGGTCCGGCTTTATATGGGACTGGGGCTTAAACGGAGTAATCATGCAAATTACACACATGCGTAATCATGCATAATCATGCATGACCAAAAATGTTCCACGATTGTACACCATCGTTCTCTCTCCCTCTCTCTCTCTCTCTTTCTTTCTACCCGAGATCTCTGGTATTATTTATTCTCCTTCACTGTGCCAAGTTTGATAACATTTCCTTCTTAGACACATAATCCACTCATTGTTCAGCATTTCAATATGTCTGGGCTGACACAAGCACTAATCTTTAGAATTTATCTGTGAATGCTAACTTGTCACAGTGCACCTTTCACATGGTGGACAGCAATGCTTTGTTATTCAGTAAACTGTGACAGTAGTAGTATGATCGGGGTGTCATTAACAAGAGGACATTCTGTCCTTTACAACAGACATAAAATGCTTGATTATGAAATCAGTAGTTTTCATATAAATCGTCATTAAACTTCAATATCCTTTATTATGATACGCCCTGTATATATTGTTTATTGTGTTTTGGCTGTCAACACATGATACCACATTTTGGTTTTGACGTTCACTTGCACAAATGGAAAAACAATTATTAAAAGTCCTATGTCAGCTAGGACAATACAAACATAACAAACTTATAGGATTTACAAGATATACATTTGTTATTAATAATATGAAGAAAGAAAACAGTAATCACTACTCGCTGTGGCTTTATAAATATTACAAAGAATATGCTCAACCAATGAACCTTTTACATGTACACATTACACATGTTTTATTGGTTCACTTGTATCAACTTTAACGCCACATATTCATGTTCTCGCTCCATTGCTATTACAGTTTTACCGAGAATGTATTTTCTATCATATCCTTTATAAGAACTTCATAATGCTGATAATGAGATGTTAATTAACAAATGTTGCTTAGTAGACAGTAGCCTATATGTGATCTGACGACAGAGGGACAAGTGAGCGAGCGAAGCGAACGAGGGGAGGGTTAAGGCGTGTTCCACAGTAGGGGTTTTTGCATTCTGATGTTTGTAATTCGTACATTTTGGTGCGTATTTATGTTAAGACTTGAAAAAGTAGGAGTTTTGCAAATACTTTTTTTGTGCAAAATAACCTGTATATATTTCGGCTAAACATACTCACTGAATCAGTATCAATTGCTGTTTCGTTTCATTTGTTAACCCGTTGACTACTGAATTATCTTATTCCCATAGGCTTAATACAGGGACCACCAGGTTCCAGTAAGCAATGGGTTAATGTTTATTTTGCGAAATGTTCAGCTATCCTAATAAACCAACGAATTTAAATTTAGATCAAAAACATGTACCCTTAAACATATGTGAAGTGTGTACAATTGTATATCTCTAACGAATGATGGGTAAAGTGGGAGCACTTTACACGTTTAAAAAATGAAGTCACTCATTCGTTGCAAATTCTAAAAATAATTTTAATCATAGCCCAGGCATACTAGGTCGCAAGCTGTTAAATACAAACAGACTTACAAACAAGTCTAACAATAATAACCACTACTTCAACAATACCCCCATTCACACACCAACAAATGGATCTTTCCAATTATGTCATAAGTTTTATGTTTGTATTTCCAGGTCCGTTTTTCGAAAATAATTTTCTCTCCCCACCCCCATTTTCGTACACGCCAGTGTTAATGCATCCTTATACATAGACACTATGGTATGAAACATCTTTGCTATCAAGGGAAAACAAACTATATGTAATGTATCATGAATATCAGGTGCAGAGTTGCACCGTACAGTTTGACGCGCGCATTCTCTCATAATGCGTGTATTGTAGGAATTGGAACATCAACCGCCAGCTTAGAAATCCCCAAACTGTTTGTTTGCTTTTGAATTCATCCATTGATAAGTTGAAATTCGGAAGTTTGTCGTCACGTGAATAAAAATGGCGGCCCGATTTATGCAGTTGCTCCGCCTGTCATGCAATATAGGCATATGCATGATACTTTACGTGTGCTTACTACAGGGTAAGTCTACTCTAATTGAGATGAAAGTTATCTGCAAATATATTATTAAGATCGAGCTATTATAGCAATGCTGCATGTACATTTGTTCGTGTTTTTTATCGTAAGTTTTGAAATCATTATAACGAGATCACTTAACATTAAGTATATGCATATGATTGAACAGATGACGGTATAAAATACCGTCTAATGGCATAGAATAACGGCAACCTTACTGTTTTGGTTGCAAATCCGGAGATAGGGATGTAGCTAATCAGATTGAGTAATGCTGAGAATATCACTTCCAAACGTTTGAATATTGACATATTTGCACATATAGATATGACGTTACAGGTGTGGGTAAAACATGTATGATTAATCCATATGCCTGTATTTTATAGTTTGAATACGCCGTTTGAAATCGTGTTAATGCCTACTTGTGCATTAAAACCGAAAATGAATGATCGTTTAACTTAGGTATGGTATCTCAAATATTGACTATACAAGTTTTTTACGTTATGTCAAGGCTTTCTACGGATAAAACGTGAACACCGGGTAGCTTTAAAGCACGGTTGTGTCCACGGTATAAAAAAGACGTTTCAAGTAATAGAAATATGTATCCTTGATACAAGTGCCTCGTGTCAGACCGCAGTAGAACCTAACGCGCCTTAGCACGCCGGACCCGTAAACCATTCTTATACGGACCACCTCCAAGTTTTTTTCACAGCCTTCACTACGTAGTGTCACGTTTTATTGCGTTCACCCCGTTTTAATACCGCCTACTAGGTTTCTCATTCGCACCGTGACTGACGTAGCAATTTTGTTGACAGTTTACAAATCTGGCCCGGCATCCAGGGCAATCATGTCATGTCGCGTTTGCCCATTCCGCCCCCCCCCCCCCCCTACGCGTTGTATTACGTTGTGAAACGTGATTGCCGTAGCCGCCGGGAACATAGTACAAACGAAGCATTAAACTGTAAAAACAATTGTCAGTTAGTGTTAGTTATTGTTTGGCTGTAATGAATAGTATTATTACATCAAGAATGTTAATTGATGATTGATAATTGATTCCAAGATTTCTATATAGTTTTTTTTTTCAAACAAACATATTCATATGCATCTACATGTATGTAATATGATATTTTACATTTGATTTCATTTGCATGTGCTATATTTACCAATACGTTGTACTGCATCAGTACAACATATTTTATTGAAATTTGAAAAGATATATGATATTAAGTTACACGCTTAATGCATTAACATGATATACGAGGGCTACATCGTATGCATGAGGCTTGATGTGCATGCACCCCTCGGAAAGAAGGACGAATGTAAGATGTAAAGAGGCTTACTGCTTTACATCTGGCCGAGGCTGTAGTTACAATGAGATTAATTTGTTAGTTTGTTGGGGTTAAACAGCTGTATCAACCATTGTTGTTTTGATACAGGCGTTTCTGGCGATGTACCAGATGATGTCGTGTACACTGATTTACACAAAACGGTACGCAAGGGAGACAGCGTTGTACTGACATGTCGATTTCGTGGGACACCTTTAGCTGTCTGGTGGAAGAAAGGAGATGACCCAGAAACATCACCAAACCTTGTTTCATGGATTCCAACCGATGATGTGACAGGATTATGTGAAGGTGAAAGGCCATGTCAGATCATGGAGATGAATGCAAATCGCTCCTTGGTGATCAAAGAAGTCAGCATTGCAGAACAAGGACGATACATCTGTAGAGTAACAATCAAGGGGATACTGATACACAACTTTACGGACATCAGTGTATTTTGTGAGTAATGCTTTGAGCCTATCGCATCCTTCTCGATTCTCAAGATCTTATTTTCGTAGAAAGGGCGATTATATCAAAAATAGAAATTAAAAAAACACTAGTCTCCTTGTTTGCAGTGGCGATCACAACTATAGTGAATTTGAATCCTCTTAACAAATCCAAATTCATTCAATTTTATTTTACATCTCTTTAAAAACACATCAAAAGATCAGTACAAACATCAAATACAAACAAATCAGTATAAATTAAACAATATAAATATAAAACATTAATTGACATGGTACTGTGAAAGAAGGATGAAGGGTGGTGGATTTGAGGGATCAACAAATGCCATTGGCCTGTCAAGGTTGATCCCCTATATTACCACCCTTCAAGAGAAATACATTACACAATATATACAACATAAAAAACAATCAAACAAACAGAAAATATAACATAGCATATTCACATAAAAACACAACATAACTACTTACATAAATCACATAAAAAGCACATTCAAATAAAACTACTAACAATTAAGAAGATAACATTTATATTTTTCCTGAATGCAAGAACAGTCGATATTTCTTTTAATACATTTGGCAACTCATTCCAAAGCTGTGGGCCTTTAAAACTTACTGTATTTCTTGAAAAGTTAAAATTATAAAAAGGTACATACATTTTATTAGAACTAGAACTTCTTGTTTAATATTTATTGATGTTACTATTATATTCAAAATAGTCATGAAAGTTATTGGGTAATAGTTGTGTAGAATAAGAAAACATAAACGATGCTAGTTGTAATTTATTTATATCAAAAATATTCAACATTTGTAACTGTTTAAATAATTGATGATACGTGTTAAATAGTTTGATTTGGTAATTGCTCATATTGCACGTTTTTGTCAATAAAATGAGCAACCGCCCCATACAATATTAGAATACATAAGATTTGAAAGAATCATACAGTTATACAAATTTGTTAAAATCTTCAGTGGTAAAATGTGTTTTTAAATATTAAAGACTCCAGTTGATTAATATATTTTTAAAAACAATGTAATTAACATGTTCCTTCCAGTTCAAGTTTTTGTCTATGATTACGCCATGAAATTTAGTACTGGTTTCTATCTTTATACTTAGTTCATTAAGTTCAATATTTATTTCATTATCTTGTATTCTACAATTCCTACTCTTAAATATCATATTACATGTTTTATCGCGATTAATGTAGAGTTTATTGGCTGTTAACCAAGTATGTATATTTTTTATTTCTGAATTCTATAGATTATTTAATGCAACTGGGTCTTTACCTGATACAAATAAACTTGTGTCATCTGCAAATAAAATGACTGACAAAATATTGCTAACATATTGCAGATCATTAAGATAAAGTAAATATAAAAGGGGGCCGAGTTAGATCCCTGAGGTACACCTACTGAAATACATTTATATTCTGAATCAAAATTATCAACGCTTAAATATTGCTTCCTATTGCACAAATAACTTTCAAACCACTGTATTGCATTTCCCATTATTCCATAATATTTCAGTTTGTTTAGTAAAATTGAATTGTCAATACAGTTTAACGCCTTTGACAAGTCTAAAAAGAGAGCTATCACTATGTGTTTCTTTTCAAAGGCTTTGGCAATTTTATATGTTAATTCAATCAATGCATGGGTAGTATTGTATCCTTTTCTAAAGCCAAATAGTTTATTGTGCAAAATATAGTGTTTTTCGATAAAAGATATTAATTTATCATAAACAATTTTTTCTAAAATTTTACTAAATATTGATGAAATAGAGATTGGTCTATAATTATTCAACATATTTTGTTGCCATTCTTATATATTGGTATAACTTTAGCTATTTTTAATGCATTAGGAAAAATGCCTTTTTCAAGAGAAGAATTAAATATATTGTTGCATTAATAGCAGATTTAACAATTTTAGCACTAATTTCATCGTAACCAGGACCTTTACTGACATCAAAACTCGAATTATATTAGATTCGATTTTATGTTAATACCTGTGAAATGTATATGTTGTTTTATCACCACGAAAGAAAAGTATGAATGTCATATTTATTAAACTATACCATTTAATGTTACTATTTTAATGATAATTATATATTCAATTTGAAAATTGAAATTGGAGGAAATAACTTTTTCCGTTACATGATAGTTCTCCTCATTAAGGTGTGATGATTTTCTTTGTTAGTCATTTAGTATTATTTTACATTTTCAGCTCCTCCGATGGAACCCTTTCCCCTTATCGAGGAATGTCCAGGAATACTTCCAAACGACGCTGAACAAACCTGTAGTCTGCCAACCTTCGATATCATCACTATCACCTGCTCAGCCTCAAGCTACTTTCCAGACATCGATCTCTTCTTCTTACATGGATCCAAAAAGACAGATGCAACAAATATCGAGGAAGTTGCAAACATGGACGGGACGAAAAACAAATCAATATCCATCGTCGCTGAACCTAGCGAAAGCCCTTATTTTTGTGTCGCTTCTGATATCCCGGGATCGCAAAACCAAAGAACAGTGACCGTCACCGTGACCTTGTTAGAATATGCTGTTACCATGACATCCTCCTCTCATCAAACCAGTTTAGCTCCGAGTCCGAGAGGAGATGTAGCCAAAGTTGGTAAGAATTCACGAGGAATTTTCCTGTTTTTATTTTGTATTCGACCCGTATTCAAGAGTGGATAGATAGTATACAGCTGCTATCATCTAGGGTAACAGTAAACATTATCCACACAAGGTAACCAACCAGTTAGGAGGAATTGTTAATGACGGGTGACTAGCATTTGTAAGGAATGGTTACTCTTTAGGACAAATTCATGTTTTGTCACATATCCGCTCTCAACCAACCACGTGGTATTAAGTATCGGGGTCATAATTCTATTGTGACTAGCGATCCGTTACAAAATGCAAAGGTTCGATGTCAGACATTTTATTTTATTTCTCCTTACTGAATTGACTGAATACAAGCAGGATTTGCCACATAAGAAAACATGTAAATGTGTTTTGTAAACGAATTGTATAAGATGTTAAATCGCCATTTTAAAACGGTCAAGGAATGGCCACTTTTTTTAAATGTCAGATCAACACTTTTGATACGCTAAGTGTACATGTAGATACAACCTATAGGTCAGGCCTTCTCAACTAGTTTATTCGAAGCGCCAAAACAAAAAAATATTGAGGTTTAAGTGCCAACCTGTATGTTTGGTGACTGTGTTGCGAAGGAGCGTAGCGACCGAGCCGATACCGGGTGGGGTCCAGGGGGCAAAGCCCCCGGAAGCTAGTGGATTTTAGGGCTTTTTTAGGCCCAGTTGTGGCATTCTTAACACCTTTTTGTTCCATAAAACATTAATCATAATTTCATTTTGATTAGTACAATTCCTGGCTAAAGTTAATTTATATGTAGTTATTTTGATGCAATAAACACGGAAATGTCAAAATGAAGTGAAAATCAAACAAACAAAATGGCTTGCTTACATTTTAGGCTCAACTTCGACTGCGAATTTTTGATTTTGCTGAGTTTTTTTTATTTTAGAATATATTTTTTAAATTTTTTCTTTCTTAAATTTTATTTTTTAATTTGTATTTTTTTTTTTTTTTTTGGAACAGCCGCGCGCCACTCTGACTGACCGCAAGCGCCACGAGCAACGCGCGCGCCGCCAGTTGAGAAGGCCTGCTATAGGTTATATATATAGGATCCAGGATTGTTAACGTTTCAAATTAAAATTGTCTAAATGGTGAATTAACTCTTTTAGCATTCTAGGTAAACGAGAAAATAGAACGACGAGAACTTTGATTCGCTGAAGATATTATTTAATCTATTTGCAGTTGTACCAGTTATCGTCGTCTTTCTCATATTGGCTGTGATTTGTGTTGCCATCATATTTTGGCGTCGGAAGAAACAACGGAGGATTCAAGGTATGTTTATATAAAAAGTATAGGGCTCGTCATCACTGGGTCGAGTTATATATACTCACCAGCTTCAGTATTTCAACGAAAAGAAAATACCTCATAGTAAAAACGAATGGGAAAAAAAATCCTTTCTATGGAGCCATATTTTCTAATTTTTCTATGACTATATTGTCATACAATATGGCGATAAAGCTCAAATGTATGCAGGGATATACTATTTGTTATGATGTATTTGGCGAACCTTTGATCTTTACGAAATATAATCTGAATTCAAACAAGAGAACTTTGAAAGAGAATATCATTTCATAATGTTCCGGGTGTAATTGTAACAGATTCAAGCCTCATTAGTCAATCAAAAGACCAATACTTAAAGAGAAGGTTGAGTTGTGAAAGAGGTGGAAAATAATTTCAATTCAATTCAATTCGTTTTATTAAACCATTTAAAAACAATATACAAATTATGCGTGTATGAACATTATTGATACAGTGTAAATGGTCAGGGTGCCCCTAAAAGCCAAGGCTTGATGAATGGGGCACCCTATACATAAAGAAATATACATAGCATAAACATGAAATACAAACAAACTTAGTTATACACAAATAAAAAAAATAAAAACAAAAAACTTCAAAACATTAAGCAATAAACAATACAGGTAAAGGGGAAAAGGAAAAGGCGAAATAAGAAAACGTAGGGAGGAGAGATGAAATTACATGTTTATTTGACGTAGGTAGTTATTATTGAACGTTTGAGTTTGGTTTTAAATAAAGTAACATTAGAGCTGGAGATTACATCAGAAGGGAGGGAATTCCATATTCGAGGACCAGCAGATTTAAATGCAATAAGAGTCGATTGATTATGTGCTAATGGTAAATGGAATTTGGAGTGGGAACGGGTATTATATTGGTGGTAGTCTTTATTATACTGAAATAGATTTGTTATATTAAGAGGTGCTAAATTATGTTTCACGTAATACATCAGGATCGCAATTTGGATTTCATGAATATCAAAAATTGTCAATGTGTGTAATCTTGCAAATAATGGGCGTGACGGAGCTAAGTAAGGGGAATTCAAACATATGCGTAAAGCCTTTTTTGCAGTCTATGTAAAGGGGTCAATTTATTAGTGCCACAACTTGCCCAAGTAATATTGCCATAATAAATATAGGAAAGTATTAACGAGTTGTAAAGCATTAACAGGTGCTTTTCTGTAAGGATACTACGTAATTTACATAATATACCTATGTTCCTTGACATCTTATTATTTATTTTAAAAAAATGGTGTTCCTTAAATGATAGATTATCATCAAGTATAAATCCTAGGAATTTGACAGAGTTAACAAGATTTAAAGTAACATTTTTCATTTGTATGTGAAAATCTAAAGAATTGTGTGATACATGAGGTTTTCTAAAATACATAACATTAGTTTTCTCATAATTAACAATAAGTTTGTTAGCATCGAACCAATCGGCTATTTTACATAATTCAGTATTGGTTTTTTTCTAACAAAAAAAAGAAATTGATATGGGTTGAAATGATAGTTGTGTCGTCTGCAAATAAGACATAATAAAAAAAATTAAAAAAAAGAAGACGCTGTACGTAAATCATTAATATAAATTAGGAAGAGGAGCGGGCCCAGTATGGAGCCTTGAGGGACACCATACTGGGCTGTCGAGTAATGGAAATTATAATTATTAAATGAAGTATAGTTACGTCGATCAAGTAAGTAGCTCTGGAACCATTCCCACACTGCTTCCCTGATACCATAATGGGATAATTTATATAAAAGTATGTTGTGGTCTATGAGGTCGAAGGCTTTTGACAAGTCTAGAAATATACCAAATTAGTGAAAATTGTTATGAATATTAGTTAAAAGAGTGTTATTTAAATTAATTAATGCATGTTCACACGAATGTCCTGCCTTGAAGCCATATTTTATTTCTATCCAAATAAGAAATTAATCTTTTATAAACAATTTTTTTCTAGGATTTTGGAAAAACATGGTAATAATGTAATTGGTCGATGATTGGAAAAAAAGTGTTTATCGCCTTTTTTAAATACAGGAATGATCTTTCCAATTTTCAGATTATTAGGTTCTATTCCTGAACATAAAGATAGGCTAACTGTATGGACTAGAGGGGTTAATATGGAATAGATTACTTTTTTTTACAACAAAAGTATTTATATCATCAAAGCCAGTGCTATAACTCATTTTCATATCTTTAACAATTTTGATGATTTTTAACTCATTGGTTGGATAAAAATATATAGAAGTTTGACATGGATTTTTAAGTTAGTGACTAAATTTTTGTCTAGAATCATGACGAATTTGCTTTAAGGTATTTGCAGCAATATTAGAAAAGAAATTGTTAAATTCTTTTACTATATCTTCATTTTTATATACTTTTACATTATTTTTCATACAATATAATGAATTAAAAAAAAAAAATTCTTACACATTAAATCGTTTATAATTTGCCAAACTTTCCTAAGGTTATGCTTGTTCTTGGTTAACAAGTTACAATAATACTTTTTACGAGCCGTTCTTAGGATTTCATTTAATTTGTTTCGATATTTCTTATATTTCATTTCAACCGATTTAGTACGATTTTGGCAAAATAATTTATGTAGACGATTCTTTCTATTAAAACATTTTACCAATCCTTGAGTTACCCAAGGTTTTTTAGCCGAAGACCTAGGTTTTTTCTTCTTTTCCATTTTACAGTTAACATTAAACATTAGTTTGAATACTTCAAAGAAATTATTATATGCATCATCAATATTACGTAATGATAGTATGTCAATCCAATCAAATGAGAGTAAATCTTTATTAAAACCATCAATATTTTCTTGGCTAATACATCTTTCAGTAAAATGTATATTGTCTTCAGCTTTAGGATAGGACCTTGTATTATGGGTAACATAAAAAATTGGTAAATGATCAGTTGTATCATTATATAATATTCCAGAGGAAATTTGTCTTTCACAGACATTTGTTAATATATTGTCAATAAGAGTTGTCGAGCCTCGTGTTATTCTCGTGGGTCTGTTAACTAAGGGTCGAAAAGAATTATTATATATAATATTAACAAAGTCATTAACATTTGCAATTGATGAGGCGTTCAGTAAGTTTATATTCCAGTCACCCATAATATATATGTCCTTGTTTTCATTTAACATTTGATTAAGGCACGAATTTATATCATCATTAAAATCAGCTATATTTCAACTAGGATCACGATAAATAATTCCGACAATTACATTTTTCCTGTCACATTTTTCAATTTATAGAAAGAGAAACTCACATAAATTTTGCGCCAAAATTATGTCCGCTCTTTCTTTTACATTTAATGAATCATGGATTAACATAGCTACTCCACCACCTCTACTCTTTGTTCTGTCACGATGAACAAAACTGTAATTTTCTAAACGAAATAATTCTTTTGGTGTCAACGGGTGTATCCAGGTTTCACTGAAACCATATATTGAAAAGTTAGTATCTATATGTTTCGTGATAAAATCATGTATATTATTAACATTTTTGTTTAGGCTTTTTGTGTTAAAATGGAGTAAACTTGATGAATCATTATCAAAGTTCATTTCAGAATTAAAATCAGCTGGTAGCCAGTATCTATTTGGACTATCAAGTACAGAACAATTAACGTCAGGGTCTATATCCGATAAATGATCCTCTTCATTCGGGTTCAAATTCGTATCATACGTGTTATTTTTGTTATTATTATCAAACTCATTTTGCGTATCTTGAAATAAACAGTCAAATTCTAAGTTGGAAAGGACTAAAAGGGAAAGGGGAGTCACAAACTACCATTATTTAACAGTATACGTAAAGAAGCAAAAACAAAGAAAAAAATAAAGTAATGTAATAAGGAATAAGGATTTAAAAAAAAAGATTATAAGTAAACCACTTAAAGTCCACGCCGAATGTAAAAGTTCATTCAGTCACTATCCAATGAAACGACTAGAGTTCGACGACCAGCGTGTGCATTATGACGCCCTGTAGCGTTCGATCCCTTGTCTGACATGGGTGAATGGTCCTGTTCAGTGTGCACACAGCAAACGAACAGATAATGACGTGTACTAAAGGTTTGGCCAATTAAAACTGCTTAGGAACTTATAATGGGCGGAGGCTTAAGAAGCGTAAAGAATAGCTGTGTTGTAGTCAAAGTAACTAGTACAGTAATTATAGTACACATTCCGGAAATGTGTACTAAGAAGATGGTTTAATCCGCTTTAGATGATCTCTGTTTGTGAGCGTTACCCGTCGATCATCACTAGTTACAACTTTGATGCGGCCATCTTGAGTCCAAACATGCTTGATGTCGTTTTTCAGTTTTGATTTGATTTCCCAGAATAAATCAGTCCTAAGTGTGGTGAGGTTTTCCTGGATGAAAATGGGAGGTCCTTCTTGATCACGTAAATTCCCCCTACCTTGGGAGACACGATTACGAACGTTGTAATTTGTGAATTTGGCTATTATTCCACGGGGTTTTGTTCTGTTCTTCCCCTTGGATTGACCCAAACGGTGTGATCTATCCAAATCCTTGGCGCTGATGTCAATGTCCAGCCTATCCTTGCATAGATCTTTCACTATAGCATCTGTGATTTCTCCTTCTCTCTCATTAACACCATGAAAAATCAAACAATTTCTCCTGGAGTATTCTCCATTTCATCCTGCTGACAGCGACATTCATTTAGCTCCTTCTGTAAAACAGATATCTTTTCGTCTCTCTCAGCAAGATCAAACTCCATACTCTCCTTCATAGATTGAGCAACCTTGTCAGCAATAACATTTGTCAATTCATCAATGAGAATATCTTTGATCCTTAGCGTAAGAATGTGTACCAACTCACCGTTGATGTCAAGCACTTTACGCACTTCATCTTTTATATTCTCCGACATGTCCGTCATTGAAGACCGTGTTGCGCGTTTAGTCATATTTCACAGTGACTCACAAAACTTCAGGATAGTGAACGTACAGGGTATTCCAAAATTCCCCTAGAATCAGAAGCTTGTCAATATAAAATTCCTCTGAAGATCACCATATATACAATTCTAGCACAAATTCCAGGAAAATATGAAGTTTAGGTCAATTTCGGCGTAGCATAGCGAAGGAAATTCAGAGCGGCAACGAAACACGTCTGCACTCCGTCATGGTCAACAAATCAAAAAACTAGTGAGCGTAATCATTGTATTATGCAAATGTGGAAGAACACCAGATAACAAAATGTTCCCTGAAAGGCATGGCTCTTCGAATGCTTTAATATTCAAAATGTGGCATGTAACATCGGGTGTTTATGCCACATGTTCGTGTAGTCCCATATACATCTTTCTGTGTACAGTGCATTTAACGTTTCCAAATGTGCCAAATTTCTTTTCATTTCGATGATTCCAGAACCTTGCAGTACACACCAATACTTATATGCTAGATGATCAATCTTTTCTGATCGATTCCATAAGGTTTCTTTCACAGTGCAATCGCATAACCAGAACTCAACTTTACGTAGGACGTAAATTTCCCGAGTCTTGAAATAGCAAAGGTGTAACATTAAATACAACAAAAACAAATTTCTTGAAGTTCTGTCATATCATAAGATCGAACAAGGCAAAATAATTTTTCAGTTAAAATGAATTCTGAACAGCTCCGTCAACGACTTCTTCTAGCGAATCGCCGTAGAAGCTTCCCGTCTCGCTCAGTACAACTATAGACAAATAATGATAACAAAATATGTTCAAATTATATAGCTCATTAAATTATACTTCCCACGCCCTTTACACGAACTTAGATGCTATGAGTGGAGCACCCCTGACGAAAAAGACTTTTGACCGCATAGATTCAACTTGAATTTCTCAGGCTGTTTTCCTTTCAAATTTGTGTTCCCGTACAGGTAACGACGACCAGGAATCCATGCTACTACGTGCAGACCCACAAATAAATGGTAACTCCTTATATTTATCTGTCATGAAAAAAATAAGAACCCCGATGCTTTCTCCCACATACACACACAAACTCACGCACGCACACACCAGCGTGCACACACACACACACGCACACACACGTACACACACACATACATATACGCACATGCCCCCTCGAACCTGCAGACAAAATCGCTAACAATTTGCCTTGGAAAATTTTAGTAATATATACTTTAGAATATAACTTTAATATATATATATATATATATATACATATACATAAATAAATTGATAAATATATATATAATGCTTGAGTTCTTGCTATTTCTAGCGAAGGTATTTGTATTGTCTTCTTTCTTGTTTTATTTGTTTATACGGTAAAATATTAAATACGAAGTTGCACGTGAACATTATATCAGTGTGAACTTTAAATGTTAACTTCAACCTCTATAAGCTTGTTTTTTTTCTTTTTTATGTAGTTTCTGGTATGGCTATGAATAAAAACTAAACAATTTATGAGTTGTTATTATTCCTCTCAGTGAAAGTATCTTTCTTTGAACTATGGTGCCTGGTATATAATATGGATGAGACTAACTTGACAATGCTAAGGGACGCCCTCATCGATCATGGTATTCCCGGGGTGGAGGAAGAACTAACTGCATACAAGGCCTATGACTTGCTATGCGACTGGAAGGATACAAATACTTTTGGAAAAAAAGGATTGAAGCTGAAGAATACATTCATCAGACATAAGAATACTTTTGATAAAGAAGGATTGAAGCTGCAGGATACACTCATCAGACATGGACTTGACCGTTCTTGGGAAGAAACGTGTGGTGAGAATCGAAACCAATGTAAATTTCATGATTTGTTAATTCTATTTGTTAAACCAGGGTGGCTCTCTCAGTCGGAGATGATAAACCAAACAACAATTTGTATTATTAGTCAATGCAGTATTATTAGTATTATTAGTATTATTAGTATTATTAGTATTATTAGTATTATTAGTTTCAAATGAAGATGTGTTGCATCGAGCTCAAGAAAAGCGGGTGTTGATTCAAACGATTAGAGAGAAACAGAAGAAATGGCTTGGACACATAATGCGGCATGATGAGGGCTTGTTGCTCAGAGTCATAGGAGGTCGTATTCATGGAAAAAAGAAGAGGGGAAGACCTCGTCAAGGCTTTCTAGACGATGTAATCACAGAATGTGGAGCAACAGGGTATGAAACGCTGAAACTGATGGCTCAAGACCGAGGAACTTGGAGAGACACTTGATATAGAATTTTGATTGGGTCACTGAACCTGTCATAAACTGACAGATCACTATTGATGATTGATGAGTATTATTATTGATGGACCTATACAATAGATAGGGAAAGTGTATTAGACACAATTACCACTATTTCGAGCGATATTATCTAACAGTGTATACTTGAAGTATGTACATTTGTGAGTAAAGTGAAATGCGTAAAAAATAACGCGTCTTAGGGACTTCTAAAAAACATGAACAATAAAAAGTATCAATGTTTTGTAGAATTTTTACGATTTTGATTACGTATTGTTCATTCTATGTAGAACGGAGATCTGATACAGAGTCTAAGGTTTCTGAAGAACTGCTGGGTCACGTTTTATGGAGCATTGGTGATGAAACAAAGATTCACCAATTTTTTCGTGAACTGATCCCCGAGAAACATGAAAATCGATCTAACGTGTCAGGAAATAAAAGAAACGTTATCAAGGAATATATGGTTGTCTTGAGGGAATGGCGTGACAGAGCACAGACTGAAAACCAAACCATTCAATTAAGCTTAGCTCTAGAAAGAGCTAAGTGCAAGCCGCTTGATAGGACTTTCTTCAAGGGTGAGTTTCATGTGTTATTTTCTAAGGCTTCAAATGATGCTATTCATTTGTGAGAAAATGCTTGTATCTGTTTGTTGCGATATCAGAACTGTACGGTCGTTCGCCAAGATAAAAGAAAGTACTCAGTAGAGGTTTACGAAAATTTGTAATGCTCTGGGGTTTATCAATAACTCTCAAGACGCTTCATGTGAGGGACAGAACCTGGACAAATGTTTTGTGATCTTATTCTCATGTTCTTCCTCTCCTCCTCTCTTCTCATCACTCTTCCTCATATGTTTCATATATTTCCTTTTCATGGCCAGTACCTGCTTTGCTAAAATGTTAATTATATTAATAATGCAGAAGTATATTTTAACAAATATTGGACATTTTGCGAATTATTGTTGTTTGTAGTTCCTGAACATCTCCTGAAGGCGATTTCCCCACAAGATGTAGAAGGATTCATCTACAGACTGACAGGAAGACATTGCAAGAGGCTTGCTAAGGCTGTAGGAATCACTGATGAGAAGGTGATTACCGCCATCATTTATGAAAATAATGACGATCTGTTTGACACACAATCAATGATCATTGACTGGGTTAATGGACAGGAATGCAGCAACTTCGAGAAGAGATGCACGCTTGATGATGCCGTCATTAAAATTGGTCGTCATGACATTACAGGTATTGGATCCATTAAACAAGCATTCATGTTTTTTTTATGTATTACTTATTCATTTATTCTTCTATTCATTACTTAATCGATTTATGATTTGATTAAGTTATTCATTCATCTATCTATCTGTTCATATATTTATAATAACAGTGAAGCGCCCAGCCTTCTTGGCTAGACAGACTTAAGCGCCATACAAGGGATATTTTGTATTATTATTATTAATATTATTATTATTATCATTATTATCATTGTTGAAATTATTATCAATATTTTCATTACGGAGGTCTCGTAGTATAATGGCTAATTTACCTGGTTTAAATTCCAGCTTGAGAGCATTTTCTCTTGAGCCTTGCAAAAAGTTACGTATTGTGATTGTTTGGGCATGTTTATTCTTATTCAATATGTCTGTTAAAAAAAAAAAATTACCTTTAAGAAAGGGCATACGCATTTTTTGATTTTATTTCTTGTGTTTCAGATTCATTTGGAACAACCATCTATCGTGTTAACACAAGAGGCACTGTACAAAGCCCACATCCAGATGCCAAGAGTTTCAGTGAGTTCAATTTTTTTCTAGTAAATAGCAATTTATTTATATATTTACCTCCCCACCTGTTAAATGGATAAATAGACTCCGATTAAAAGAAGAAGAAAAGTATTATCCCATCATTCCCGAATAATCATATTCTATTACTTCAACATTCGCTAGAAGAGCAAAATGGCGTAGGGAAACTACACTTCTCCCGATTCTGATATAGAAAAGATTCATTCTTTTCAGAATGATGAATCTTTACCGCTTTATCATTACCACATGCTATAGAAACTTTAATAGTCAAGGATGTGAGGCAAACATAAAGCCAAACTTTTTATTCATTTAATAGTCAAACATGCTGATGGCAAGAGTTGTATTTCCCCGCTTGTTTTGGAAGCAGAATACGCTTGATTGTCAAATAATCGTGTTATTTGTTCTCCTTGTTTACATTCTACTCCAAAATGAGAAAGACAAAATATATCCTTTTTTATGACAGTGCACTGGTAGACGAACAAATGTAACTGTCATGTCAGCACAGTTTCCAGATGCAAGACTTAATTTTACCAAAAACTGGGAAATATTGAAATATCATAGTGCCAAAAATATGTTTATATATAAGAATCACTCAATACATTATGTTACTTGGTTTGAACCCTCCGACGCTCAGAAAATCATCTAAAGCTAATAAAGGTTCAAACAGTGTCATAAATATTTAAACATTTAGCATCCTTGCATTGTTATTTTAGTACCGTGACTATAAACGGACCTTGTTTTTATACACACAGATAGTACTAGTGTATTCAATGATGATCTACATGCGTTGCTGAAGCATCTTCCTACAGATGCAGTATTGGTGTTTCTTGAGAGGCTTGGCATCTCTGTTGATGCGGATAGGGACGATACGGAAGAGAAGCTGAGACGTTGGAGGGACGATAACCTGCGAGAATGTAAAGCATGTTCTTTAAAGGAACTTGTTTTGGTTCACAAACATGTGCTGAACGAGACAAATAACAATAATGGTAAGTGACTGTACCGATGAATCTAAAGAAGTAGAAAAGTTGGTTTTCACGTCCGGAATTATATTGCCTGATACTGCAACGGACAAATACTGAAACTGTAAATCATTTTTATTTTCTTTATAGATTATCATTGTTTGTTTTATTTCGACAGAAAGCCGGACTTTTCATTTCATTTCATTTATTTATTTAAACACGGTAACTCAGTCAGCATAAACGGCTGATTTTCAGAAAGTCTGTGTTAACTGAATACAAAGTATACAAATCATATCACAAACAAAAACCAGTAAAAAAAAGATAACTTCCATACGAAAGTTTCCATATTATATCATTGATATGGTTTGAAGGACCTAGAAACTAGTTGATTTATTCAGATACATTTGGAAAATATTCTTGCTTCAAACAACATAATATATGCACCAAAATATATTTCCGCATACACATGGCAAATTGATGTTTATTTGTGCTGTACATTTATTCAATCAATTGTTTTATAAAAAAGTTCTGGACTTAAAAGATGAGGAACTAGAGGACGTGTTTGCAAGCATCTCTTCAAGGAAACAGATGGACCAGCTAACGTCAGGGCTTGGATTAGATACCAAAGAGGAGTCATTGACTCTTCAGCATCTCAAAGAATGGAGGGATAGCCAAAGCATGGGGGAACGTCGAGAAACTCTAAGACAGACACTTCACGACATGAAATTATCAGGTTCGTACAAAAACATTAAAAGGCAATGTTCAATCTACAATGCAGATGTCAAGAAACATTCATGTCAAACGAATACCCATTATAAGAGAGATCACCACACATTTTCTGCAATATAAGAATCTTCCGAGTCTCACAAGTAAGACACCTTAAGTTAGATGGGCTTTTGCCTTCAAACTAATCTCAGTACATTTAGATTATTGTAGTATAATGACTATCGAGCTAATTACTGAAGTCTACTCTTTTATCTTCTAGGATGCATAGTTAATCGGCGCCCTCCACAACATGTGTACGAAGCTGAGATGGTACGTTTAGCGTTCAGTATACTATGTACTGACGTTGTTCCATTTTCCGCACTTCTCAACATGAATACGAGCAAAGGAAAAATAGTGCGGGAACCCAAGAAAGGAACTGTAGGTCTGTTACTACAACTATTGGAAAGATCGAAGGATCTCGACAATCATCGCCGCCGTGAGTTCTGTGTCGCCATTAGAGATCTTGGGTATCTGGATGCTGCTCGATCAGCCTATTTCGGTGAGGAAACAATGTACATTTTGGGGGCAATTTATTTATAGCCGCTTGTCCGAATTCACTAAACAAAGTTTTCCTATTATTTTTAATGCGAAATTAAAATAAGATGTATGCATAAAGAGATAGATGGTGAGTTGATTATTTAAATTTTCTAGTATGCGAACATGGGTGTCAAATCGGCTAAGAACTGTGAACCTAGAAGAACAGTATTGTTCAGCGTAACATAATAGTCATTGAGTTTTCCTTTGCCATGGTAATTGAGGGAGACGGGGCATTTGCTTTGTCCAAAGACCGGTGCCTTTGCTTGTTTAATTCGCACTTAACATAGCATTCGATAACAATTATGCTCAGAAAGCCATTTTGCGTGAGATATTCGTAATATGGTCAAAATGGTCAACCTCTGCTGCAGGTTTACACGGAGATCAGATTCTCTGTTCTCGTTCAATGGAAATTAAGGGGGCCGATTTTGTAACGGGTAATATTAAACGTGTACGTGCACATGTGTTAACCTATAAGTCCATAATCGGTCATGACTGCCCTACCATGACCTCTGAATTGTAAATGAAAAGAAAGACATCCTTCCTATCCAATACTGGGATCAGTTCAAGTATGTTAGCATTATGTGGAAAATGGCATAAGTTTCATCATTAACAAGATCTACCGAACATTACGAGGTCCAATGAAGTAAGTTATATCGAAGCAGGTACGTATAAGCAATAGTTCTCCGTAATAACTACTCTGTAAATAGGTATGTGTTAATTTTATTTAAAAGAAAAAAAAGCTTGCATCTGGTCTTTTAGAAACAGCTTCCTCTAGTACCCCAAATTTACCAGGAAACAAAAAGATGCTGGGATGTTATATATATTTTTTCTTAAACATTACATCTTCTAAGATTTTGATGAGATTAGGGTTGCGGGGAATTTTCCACAACCTTTAAAAATGCCGATGATTTAATTAAATGATTGTATTTATTTTGCCCTAATATGTTATGCATACAGACTACGATGACAGCCTCAGTGTACTCTACAACGTCACTTTAAGCCTGTCACAACAGGAAAAGGAAGCGTTAATGGAGCATCTTGATTCTGATAAAGCAGTCCTGTCGATAGGTCGAGTTAGACAGTGGAGCGCGGGGACAAACGACAACCTGGCACTTATGAAAAGATGGAGGGATCAGTTCAGACCAGAGCCTTTCCACCACAGCTCGAAGCTTGTTCAGGGTCTTCGAGCAATTGGGCGAACGGAAATTGCAGATGAAGTCTTGGGAGGTAAGTGACATATCGACACACCCTACATGCCCAAATAATATTAATAATAATAATAATAGCTCACATTAATATAACGCGCCTATTCCTTTGGATCTTTAGGCGCAGCACATATTATTACCCGGGTCATCGGATTCAGGCTTACCCGAACACAATGTATGCACCATGGTATAGTAATATTTACTGCTATGAGAGACATCTAATTTTTTTTTATATACGCTCAACGGAAGATTACATGATAGTGCTATGGCGTGTCAAGAGTTGCCGAAAAGGGTCATAGAATACATGTGCAACTTACCAATCATGGTAACCAAGTTTGTTTACGCTATCGAGACCTAGTCTAATACTAGGGTGTCTAATCGCGCACCACTCGAGTTTGTGTGCTAAAATCCTTCCCATTGAGATTGCACGCATATACGTTAAATGCTAAAAAACGCTCAAAAGTCTTTTGAAAAGTGCCATATGGCCTTTTTTTTCAAAAGACTATTGACCGGTTCTTGGCATTTTAAGTGAATGGCTAAAATCACGACTCCAATTTTGACCAATCAGATGGCTGGAAAGCCAAAAAAAGAGGGGGATCACACCATGTTTTTAAAGAAAAAGATTATGTTGTCACCCTTTTGGGGGCGTTCCCACTATCAAGATTGACCCCAGGATTGAAATCGCGGTCTTAATCGTTGAGTAATCGTGGTGATTCTATCACATCTTAAGGTCAGTCGTTGCAATCGCTTTGATCGTAGGAAAGTTTTGGACTATTAAACAAAAAATATACAATCAACACGATTAATTGTAAAAATAAGAGGACTAATTACCAATTTTGGAAATTTACGAGGCGATGCTGTTTTAAAATGCCTGGCCAAGAAAATGATTTCCATTACTTCACCTAAATGTTTCCCCATTCTTCTATTCCAAGCTTTATCTAGTCACTTCTTTTCATTTCCCAGTATATTTTTTTTTTCATTTCCTCGTTGATTTTGTCTGCGATGTTATTGCTATTGTGTACATTATTTAGCTGTTTCTAACCAATTGTTATTGTATTTTAACATTATTGTTTTTCTTTTGTAAATTCAATTCGTTTAAGCCTTTTGAATGCAGATTTTAATCAATAAACCAGTTTAATTAAGTTCAATACAGTAAT